TTTTTGCTTGATTCTCTAGGATACTCTAAGTATACTATCATATCATCTGCAAAGAGTGATAGCTTTGTTTCTTATTTGCCTATTCTAATTCCTTCAATTTCTTTGTTTTCTCTTAGTGCTAAAGCTAACATTTCTAGTACAATAGTGAATAACAGTGTTGATAATGGACACCCTTGTTTCATCCCCAATTTTATTGGAAATGCTTCTAGCTTATCCCCATTACATATAATGTTTGCTGATGGTTTTAGATAGATGCTATCATTTTAAGGAAGACTCCATTTATTCTTATGCTCTCTAGTGTTTTAATAGGAATGGGAGTGGTATTTTGTCAAATGCTTTTTCTGCATCTATTGAGACAATCATATGATTTCTGTTAGTTTTATTATTGAATGGTATATGAATGTAATGGAATACTATTGTAATATAAGAACTTATGAGCAGGCAGACTTCAGAAAAACCTAGAAAGACTTATATGAACTGATGCAGAGTGAAATGAGCAGAACTAGGAGAAAAATGTACACAGTAACAGCCACATTGTGCAATGACTGACTTTGATAGACTTAGCTCCTCTTAGCAATGCAGAGATCTAAGACAGCTCCAAAAGACTCCTGATGGAAAATGCTATCCACACTCAGAGAAAGAACCATGGAATCTGAATGCAGATGGAAGCATACTCTTTGCTCTCCTTTTCTTTTGTTCTTTGTTTTATTTCTTCTTTCTCATGGTTCCTCCCTTAATTCTAATTCTTCTATACATCATGGCTAATGTGAAAATATGCTTAATATGAATGTATAAGTTGAGTCTGTATCAGATTACATGCTGTCTTGGGGAGAGGGGAGGAGAGGGAGAGAGAAAACTTGACTCAAAATCTTATGGAAGTGAATGTTGAAAACTAAAAATAAATAAATTATTTAAAAAAAAATATTAGAATTGGGCAAGTAGAAGCTAATGATTCCATAAGACTTCAAGAAACAATAAAACAAAGTCAAAAGAATGAAAAAAGTAGAAAATGTACTTATTGGGGAAAAAAAATCAACCTGAAAAATAGTTCAAGGAGACATCATTTAAGAATTATTGGACTACCTGAAAGCCATGATCAAAAAAAGAGCCTAGACATCATATTTCAAGAAATTATCAAGGAAAACTGCCCTGATATCTTATATCCAGAGGGTAAAATAGGAATTGAAAGAGTCCACAGATCACCTCCTGAAAGAGAGCCCAAAATGAAACTCCCAGGAATAATAGCCAAACTGCCGAGCTCCTAGGTCAAAGAGAAAATTCTACAAGCAGCCAGAAGAAAGAGTTCAAATGTCGTGGAGCCACAGCCAGGATTACACAAGATTTATCAGCTTCCGTATTAAAAGAGTGGGAGGCTTGGAATATGATGTTTTAGAAGGGTTACAACCAAGAATAACCTACCCAGCAAAACTGAATATAATCCTTAAGGAGAAAAAAAGTGGGTATTATATGAAATAGAGGATTTCCAAGCATTCCTGATGAAATGACCAGAGCTGAATAGAAAATTTGACATTCAAAAGAAGATTCCAGAAACACAAGAAGGTAAACATGGAAGAATAATCATGCGGGACTCAATAAAGTTAAATTTACATTCCTATGTCAGAAGATGATATATATAACTCCTAAGAGTGTTAATGTTCCCGTTATTAGGGAAATTAAAAGGAGTCTTCATAGACAGAAGGCATGGGTGTGAGTCAGTTATGCTGAGATGATCTCCAAATGTGTGTGTGTGTGTGTGTGTGTGTGTGTGAGAGAGAGAGAGAGAGAGAGAGAGAGAGAGCGATGGAGAGAGAGAGGTTGCCAGCCTTCTTGGCCCCCACCCAAAGACCTGGGCTCTTGCTGGTGACTGTGGCCTTGAGATGGAATGCCTTACCTCTCTTCCTGTTACCCACTGGACTCGTCTAGTCAGCCTCCTACCCTGTGCTAGGCACATAAATCTTGCATCAGTCCCTTTACAGCAGCCCTCCCACAGAAAGAGCAAGTTACTTACTGTGTTCCTGCTGAACCAGGAAAAGAGGCTGTAACCCTGTAATTAATACCAGGCCCTCAGATGATAATAGGATTTTAAGGGCTTTTCCTGGGGTCTTATAAATTTGGTGTTTATGGAAGTGTGACTGACAGCCCTGTGCCTGCAGCCTTGAGCTCTGGGCTCCCCAAATAGCCGTGTGTGTTGCAGGCCAGCAGTTCCGAAAGTCCCCCTCCCCATGGCCGCCGCCTGCCTGAGAACACCTGCAGTGTCAGCAGGGTCTTCCCGTCTGGTTTCTGAGATGGGAACAGATGGATCAGACGCTGGGGGGAAGCCACTGATGGCCATTTGATTATCGGTGCTCTTCCTCCATTACCTCAGCTTCCACTGGTCTGCTGCCTCCCAGTCAAACCCCTTTGGTGGACCTCGTTTCACTGGATCCTCCTCGAAATGCAGTGTCAGTCAGGGCAGGCTTGGTTATCCCAACTTTTGGGGGCTCCAAGTGTTGGAGCTGAAAGGGACTCAAATCGTTTAACTGCACCCCCCCATTTGTTAGAGAAGAAAATTGAGATTCAGGAAGTCCATGCTCATCACTCGGGGCGGCAGTCCTGGCACAACGCCAGCTCAGCTGGCATTCCAGCACCATAAAAAATTTGCCATCTTAGGCAGCAAAGTAATGTGAAACAGCCAAGGGGCACTGTAGTATGTTCAAAGAGCCTCAGATTTGGGATCATGGGACCCAGTTTTGCCACTTGTTCCCTGTATGATCTCGAGGAGTCACTTCAGTTCTCTGGGTCTCAGTTTCCTCATCTGTAAAATGAAGTTGTTGGACTAGATGACCTTGAAGGCCCTTCTAGCTCTCAATCTATGACCCTGTAACTTCCCCTGGGCAGGGTGTTCACCCAGGCATGCTTGACTCTGACTCTCCAGCTTAGGAACTCCTCCTATGGACTTTGGTCCCTTGTCCCACCTCCCCCTTTCACTGAGCATTCCATTGGCCTATTGGGCCTTCCAGAGGAGCCTTGACCAACTCCAGGACTCCCATCTGGGAAGCTCTCCTCCCCCTGAAGGGTCTTCTCCTGGGTTCTGTCAGCCATGGGGATTCCAGCCCCTTGCGTCTTCCTCCTCCTCCTCCTCCATCCTGCGCACCTCTCAAACTCTGCCCCTCAACCTGACATCCTTTTGGGAAGGGGGATGGGGGTTCCCAGTGAACTGTGCTGCTCATCTCTGCCTTCTACTTAGCCTACAGCAATCTCTAGGTATGTTCTCCCAGACCCTTTGATCCCTTCAGAAGTTGTTGTCTGTGGAAATAGCCAAGTTGGTATTGTTGGGTTGAGGGGAGCTGATTATTTAAGGGCCCGCAGGCCGTTGTATTCACACATGGGTAATTCAAAAGTAAAAGGAGATAGCATTCATCTGAAATTCATTTGTTCATTGGGCAGCACATACCATGTGTCTGTGCTGTACCGGGGCCATGCTGAGCACCGGGTATGGGGAAATTCTGTGCTTAAGAAGTTAATATAGCAGGCATGGTCTGACAGTGCTTCAGGTAAGCAAAGAATTATTAAATGCCTACTAAGCGACAAGTAGAGCTGGAGAGGCTATGGCAGAAACAGTCCCAGCTCTCCAAAAACCACATCCCTCCAATGCTTCATCTGTACAATTGGGAGGGGGAAGGGGCTGGGCCTGATGGGTTCAGAGGTCCTTTCCAGGTGTAGAGTTAGGATTATGTGAACATTCTATAGTGTGTGTATGTGTGTGTCTTGGGGGGAGGGGCGATGTGGGGAATGACCCCTACAGAAATAAGGAAATCCAACATAGAGAAAGGTCAGCAGAGGATGCTCAAAGGCCTGAGCTTGAGGCCAACTGCTTTGGCAGCTGTGTGGAGGGTAGATTAGAATGGGCAGAGACCTGAGGCAGGGAGACGATATAGAGGCTTTTGCCACAGTCCAGGTAAGGGGTGGGGGTGGTCCTGAGGAGGCTGGCAATGAGAGTGGAGCTCAGAGAGAGATGCATGTAATGTTGGCAGCAGCTTGAGCAGGTAGGGCTGGGATGGGAGGAGAGGGGTCCAGGGAAAGAGGAGGAAGGCTCTGGATGTCTGTTAACTGGGCATGAAAATAAATGGTTAATGGCGTCAGATGGCTGATGAGAATGGTATCATCCTCCCCTTCTCTCCCCTCCCCCAACTGCCAACTCAGGGACAGAAAGAGGAGGAAAATGGGGGAGAAATAATTAAGGAGGCCATTTGCAAAAGTATAATTAATTATACAAAAGGGGAAAGCCAGTCATTTAGCTAACATGGGGGGAGCTGTTGATGATGGAGGGGGTCTGCCCAGGAGGGTAGCTGTCTCTATCTCTAAGAGATTAAAGCTTCAGGATTATTAAAAAAGGCAGATGGGGATGTGAAGGGACTGTGCTTTCGTTAAAACGGATGGAGGCCCACAAGATAGCCATGAGCTACACGTTAATTTTCACGGCTTGTCTGCTCCTGGACGCCATCAGCTTAGAAGGAAGTTGGCAGCTGTGGTGGTGGTCTAATGCTGTTCTTAAATTAACCTTTAGGAGTCAACTCCAAGGGGTGGGAAGGTGGTGGAAGTAGAAACCCTTGGAATGTGTCTTCCCTGGGCTGAGCATCTTGTTCAGTTGAAGCTAATGAAGGTCGAGATTACCAGCCTAAGGTCTTCAGTTAGCAACCTGGTTCCTGCTTTTTTATGGACCTTTATCTTTCTTGATAGAATGTAAGCTCCTTCAGGGCAGAGACTGGTTCTCTCCTGCCTTTGTGTCTCCAGAGCTTGGCTCAGTCAGTTGTAAGAGTTTAATCAATGGTGGTTGATTGATGGTTGGATAGATGGATTGATGGTCCTTGGGCTTGTTCTCCTGGCCCTAATTTGATGGAGTACCTATGGATACTTGTGCCAGAGCCCATGGCCATTTCTGAGACCACCCGCATTGGGTGCTTTGTCATCCCTGCCCTGCTCTAACCTGACTCTTTCCTCTCTCGACTTTCTCTCTACAGCCAGTGAAACCTGCAACGACTTTCATCCCATGTTCTTCACCCATGACCGGTCCTTTGAGGAATTCTTTTGCATCTGCATCCAGCTGCTGAACAAGACATGGAAGGAGATGAGGGCAACTTCAGAAGACTTCAACAAGGCAAGGAGGGAGGGGTGCATCCAAAGGGGTGGGGGTACAGTGTCTGCCCATGAAAGAGCCAAGAGCCATTGGAAGAGCCTTTGGCTGTTTGACAAGCTTGCTTCTTGGCCATGGGAGAGAGGGGCCATGTCCTCCTTTCCATAGGAAGAGGATGAGTGGGAGAGTTTGATCTTTGGGCTTCACTGAAAGAAGAGAGAAGCTAAGTGATTGCAGCCAGCTGTGCCTCCTTAATTGTGCTTATTTCTCCTTGGATGAGTAGGATTGTGTGTGTGTGTGTACTTTAATGTGCCCCTTCTTGGTTCATGGTCACCACTGCTGCCTGTCAGCAGAATAGCACATATTTGAGTACTTTCATCGGAGCCAATTTCCCTTTGGGTCATGATATGCTATTTTCCCATTATAAGAGGGACGAGGTCTCAGAGACAGGTCTCATGGCCCTTGATTGTGCAAGTAAGTCTTCCTTGCCTCCTCATGTTGGACACTGTATCATGTGCTTCAGGGTGGAGCCAGGAGTCCATCCATTCTCTCTATCTGTAGCTCTCAGGGGGCTGCCCCAACCTCCCAGCCCCTCAGCTTCTTCTGAGGACCTAGCCTAATCAGCAGGAGTGTGACTGACTGCCAAGGGTCCTGGTGCCTTGCTCGTGCTGAAGTGGGGATGGGGACGGGGGGACAACTCAGCATGACTCTCATGTCCTCAGGTGTGGCTCTGTATTCCGCCTGTGCCTATCCTTGGCAGATATGCTTCTTGGTCATGGTCATTCCATCTTCCAGTGATGTGTCTCCTTTCTATCTGTCACTTTTTTCTGGTCCAAGGTATCCAGAGTTCTGGGTGGATGAGAAGTAATGAAAACAGAAGTAATTAAAAATAAATGAGAATCTTTAGGTAAGCCTTAATCAAATTTCAGCGTGCCAATTGAGTTTATTCAGATGAAAATTATATGCAAATACATGATCTTGTCTCCAGTGCTGGGGTGGATCTGAGATCTCCCTGATGGGCACACTGTCTCCACCTCTGCAGATTGCAGCCAATACCCATATCAAGCTGTGAAATTCCAGCCTGGCTCCCCGTGTAAGTCTTCCCCAGGGGTCCACTCAGTCTGCTCTAAGCTTCTTTTCCCAGTCATCCCTCATTCATCTAAACAATCACTTCACCTCCCTTTCTGGTCCAATAGCCCTCTCTGATGATATGCCATGGCCAACACTTACGCCTATTACCCAATGTTGTTGTGAGGAGTCAATTAAGAAGCATTTCTCAAGGACTGACGATGTGCCAGGTCCTGTGCTAGCTAAGTGCTGTCCTGCCTCAAGAAGCCTGCATCTCAATGGCATTGACAGCATATAAATGGATGGATGGATGGATGGATGGATGGATGGATGGATGGATGGATGGATGGAT